AAATTACACAAATCCATTTATGGTCTCAAACAATCTCCTCAGGCTTGGTTTGAGAGATTTCGGGCTGCTCTTGTCTCCTTTGGATATACTCAAACACAATCTGATCATACATTGTTCCTGAAGAGAAATAACACTCTGGTGACCTTCTTGATTGTTTATGTTGATGATATTGTGGTCACGGGTAATGACCGTGAAGAGGCCAAGAAACTAAAAGGGTTCCTCAATTCTGAATTTGAAATCAAAGACTTGAGAGACCTTCGGTATTTCTTGGCCATTGAAGTTGCTCGGTCTAAGGAGGGTATTTTCATATCTCAGCGCAAATATGTCCTTGATCTTCTTGCTGAAACTGGTAAACTTGGAGCTAAACCCGTCTCCACTCCCATTGATCCTAATCATAAACTTTCTACCACAGATGGTGAACCTTTGTCTGATAAGGGAGTGTTTCAGAAACTGCTTGGGAAGTTGTTGTATCTTTGCATGACTCGGCCAAATATTTCCTATGCAGTAAGTGTTATTAGTCAGTTTATGCATTCGCCTAGAGATACTCATCTTGTTGCTGTAGAAAGGGTCCTGTGCTACTTGAAAGGTACTCCAGGGAAAGGTATTCTATTTGCTAAGCATGGTCACATGAAGCTGGACGCCTTTACTGATGCAGATTGGGCAGGATGTGTGGATGACAGGAGGTCCACCTCAGGTTATTGTTCTCTGGTGGGAGGAAATATTGTGTCTTGGAGAAGTAAGAAACAATCAGTGGTTGCTAGATCCTCAGCTGAAGCAGAATACAGGGCTATGGCTCATGGTGTATCAGAACTACTATGGCTACGATCTCTCCTAGAGGAATTGGGGGTGGACTATGAGAAACCAATGATGCTCTATTGTGACAATCAAGCTGCTATCAACATTGCACATAATCCTGTTCAACATGACAGAACTAAGCACATTGAGGTTGGGCATTTTATAAGGGAAAGAGTCTCTTCAGGGGAAGTTTGTTTGCCATTTATCACATCAGAAGAGCAACTGGCAGATGTCTTGACCAAGGGAGTTCCAAAAGGGAAGCTGACACACTATATAAGCAAGCTGGGCAAGATTTTTTTTCTTTTTTGCCAATAAATTATGGAATTATATTAAAAGAAGAAAAATGGACATAAAGAACCGTGACAGCATTGTGGCTCAAGCAAAACAGGACAAACAAAACATATGTACATAATTTAGGCCAAAGACAAGGATCCTCTGTCCTCAAACCACCTAAACCCTTTAACATTTTGCACATCAGGGAATATTGGTCCCTTGCCCATTTACAGACCGCCCACCTCTCCAATGGCCCCAACAAAAACAAAGAGAAAACTGCACAACATATCTAAAAAATATCAGATATTCATTAGCTTGAAAGTTTACAGATAGGGACATGGAGTCCATAATAAGTGCTTCCAATACAGGGGAATGCATCTGAGCATTGGAAGATGATAGACATGTCTTTCATCAATCAAAAAGAAAAAGACAAATTAATATTAACATAACAAGTAAAAAAATAGTCTCAGCAAATAAATTATGTTTATAGTTTGGAAGAATTAAAAAAAAACTTGGTGAAGAAAAAGATTAAGAGGGGAGAGAGACAGAGTGTGGAGAAAAAAGATTGTAAGCTTATGCCTAACTCATAACTCATTAATATTTATACTTATTAGAAGATTTATCAATAAATACTTATTATATATAATCTGGGTGTAAGCAAGGAAGAAAAGAAAGAGAGAGAAGGGAGAAGAGAGGAGAGAATAAAGGATTGGAAGTCAAAAGATTATGCTGGTGGCGCCGGCCTTTCTATTTACACCCAAGAGAAAATTAAAAAACAAAAAGACAAAAGTGCCCTTCAGCACATCAGTACTAAAAACAACAAGATAACATTAGAAGCACAATTACAATTTTAACCTCCAATAACAAGTTACTTAAATACCCTATTTCATTAAGCTTCTACATTGCTACATTCCTCCTTAACTGGAGTACAGATATTCATCACACTCAACTTGCATAAAATACCACTCAAAGTAGGAGTCTTTTTCTTTTAAGTAAATCATAGGTGTTAATTCTCTTTAGAAAGGCTTCCCAGCAAAAAGCACCCACATGAGGTGGTAGGCTTGCTCCAAACCTCCCCAACAAGAAAAGGCATCCTCAAACTATCCCTTGGCTGAACTAAGACTGAAAAGAAAGAGGCACAACAAAATGAACCAAAAGAGAAAAGAGTCCAAATTCAACTATCCCTGCTAGTGGGATACAAAAAAAAACCTTTCAACCTTTGGAGAAGAGACAACACAGCACTCATTTCCGACTCACGAAGCCCTCTCCTGAAATCCACGTCCTAGTCAAAACCAAATGGTGAATTAGAAGCCACAATGAAAGAGGAAATAGGCCCATCCCTACAATTGGAGTGGTGTAAAGAGAGGGAAATTGCTCCATCAAAATTGAATTTACCAACCACACATAATCCCAGAATTTGACACAATTTCCAGAACAAGAATTATACCTTACTAATGGCAAGAAGGATGGTAAAATTGCATGGATGGACTTCCAAGCAGAAGCTCTAGAAGCCTTAGCCAAAATACCGGAATCCCAGCAATC